AATATATCAGACCGTTTTTTCTCTTTGAACCAGGGCATTCAGCAGGGGAAGGTTGTTACAATCATTCTATTTCGTCACAGACACTCTCTACAACTTATTTGATCATGTTTTCTATAGTTTCACCTTGTTGTGATCCTTTCTCCGAAGGTACATCATTCCTTCGTTCTCTCTACTTATTTTTGTTTGTTCTTAAACATCAGAGCGAGATGGAAGTAGAAGAGAAAATATTGGAGCAAAGTTATACTTTTCCATCTTTAGTCTTGCACGGCGGTCACCCCATTCAATTTCTGGCGGATTACCTGTGAAGGTATTCCAAAAAAGGAAAAAATCATATTCAAAAAATGAGGAATCTGCCTAATCAAGCCATAATTTCTGAAATTGAGGGCAGATGGCTTGAGCAAACATACGTGATTTGAAGAGGTATGGCGCAATACTTGACCGAAACAGCCGAGGTAATCACTTTCACACCTAACCAAAATGGCTTTCTATCTCACATTGTTCTCTCACGAAAGCCGCGGTTTATCGATATTCCGCTATAAAGTTGCTCCACAAGTTCTATCACTAAGTTATGTCTTACTAGTTTGAAAAAAAAATCAAAAATTAGGTCCAGGATCCTTGAGCGAGCTCTCCAGTAGAGTCGCTTACACAATGGCCAATCAATGCAGTGCACTTTTCGAAGACTTGCAGTGAACAAGCTATAAATTTCTGACTAATCGTATTTCTCCAGTAAAATAGTTTTCGCCGAACTTAGCATATAAAGTTTTGTTTAATTTTCATTTTCCTATTAGCCTACCCATAATACATGCATATCGTATTGGGAGAGTGTTGTTCCTATTCAATATAGTGTGATTTCTTGGTTGGTTTTGAAGCCATTCTTGCTGTTTCCCATGTTATTCACATCCACGCAATCCTTGCATGCATATTAGAAGTCCGTTCTCGCTCCGAAATTTTCCCCATTCAGACTCCAAGTCTCTAAAGTTCACGGCTCCGAAATCCCAGGATTGGGAGTGACTGGGAGGAAGTCTGTACATAATTGTCCACTGAGTCGGATTTTTGTCACACCGATTCATCTCACTTTCCCATACCATGACTAATTGATTTTCACAAGACTTGTTTTGAAGCTGCTTCGTCAGTTATTCGTGAGAGCAAACAACCAGTCAAGTTCTACAACGATTATTGAGACCAGACTCGTTTGGGTGGATAAAAACACGGACTTGTACATCGGTCTGTCACCGCAAGTCGTTGTATAGGACACATATGCATTCAATGTGCAACTTCGATTTTGAAAGAAAGTTGAATGCTGGGCAGCTTTCCAAAAAACGGAAGAGATTAATATTAAAGTCGTTATACTTTTATAAAAGTCTTAAGTATTTTGGTCTGTTTCTTGTTACCTAAACATTCCCTCATCTTCCTGTTCCTGTGCCATATAATCGTTTGGTCATTGTTATTATTTTGTTGTTCCTTTCTTGTTTATTCTCTGACTCTTCCTTTTCGTGAAGTTTCTCCTTAGCTCACTTATTTTATGCTGCACTTCTCTGACAGATTTACTCAAAACCCAATCTTATGCGATTAGCACTCCAGTCCAGGTTGCCAGCACCTCTCAACTAAGCAGGATATCCTCTCCGCAATCTATTATACTTATTGCGTTTGCTCTGCTACCGTTCTGTATCGTAGGGCTCTTCAGATGGCGGCAAACACTTGAAGAAGCGGCGGCCATATTAGGTGCTTCCATTAATGTTCTCATATGAGCCCTTATAACAGGGAGACAAAATTGGAGTGGTTAATCCCACACAGCGGCTGGTCATATCTATGCGGACCTCATGGTATCGTAATCATCTTATCCTATCCCATATGTTTTACATTCCTCCCAACTATTACCCTGTAAGCTCCTGTAGTCAGTGATGGGCTGATGAAGATTTTGAGTGCATGGATAGTGAGTAACGGGGTTCCTTTTGAGCAGTTCGGGGTTGGAATGCCGAAATGGCTCATTCACGCCTACAAGAACTTCCTTGTCGATTACTTGCATGTGGTCAGTACGGGCATGAACTGGAACGTTCTTTTACAGTTCCGCAAAGAAGGGCATAGGCAAAAAGACCAGCTCGTCTTTTCAATCTTTATAAAAGTTCTCTATGTAAGTCATAATCGTGCAGATGGGAATTTATGATTTTCCCAAACTAGTACCATAGGGAATACTGTAAAATTTCGCGATCGATTACAATTTGCTATGGCATCTAAGCGCCTAATAACGGTGTGAATCGAAGCCGATTTTCGTGGAAATCATTACACTCGACTAGCTGGCAGCAGCTAGACGGCAGGCTGGCGTTGATGTTGTTATATATCAATACTCCTCATTACTCAACATCTCTAACACTCAATTGTTACATTTGTTAGCAAGTCATCGTTCATCATGTCCACGTCATGCACCACCTCTTTGGGCGTTGAAAAGTTGAAGCGAAACATTTCGCGATGACCGTGGAATCAATTAGCACGCTCGTCACTCCAAATTTTCATAGCACTAATGTTCCTTGTTATTATTTCATTTATTGATTCCCTTTTTGCTTGAATTACTTACAGGAGATCAGAATGTCTTGTAAGATGTATAAGGTAAAGAACCAGTCTTTCACTACCCCGCAACCGGCATGGGAACTTTGGTTTAATACTTCAGTGAAACTCAAGTTTCTAGGAGGATTTTTTATCTTCAGCTGGTAGATGATTAGGCAGAATGACTAGGCGTCTAGTTCGGCCCGACCCTTTTAAAGTAAGTACCGTGCCCACACCACTACTATTCGGGTTCAAGGGAGGAGTTTGAATGGGTGTCTGGACCACTAACATGCTCAACCTGTAGATGGAAATTTCCGGGGGTGTGAAAAAGTTCAGATATATGGGACCCCCCGAAGAATTGTTAAATGTAACCACTTCATTCTCCATGTTTTCACATACTGGCAGGGGTGATCCAAAAGAAATTATGGCCCAGGTATAGGATCCCGGATCGATATTCGTTCGGGTTAACCTATCAGTCCGGGCTCGGCTAATTGATACCAGATCCATCTGGGAGGATAAAAGCACTGATCTGTACATCGGCCGACCACAGCGATCCACTGTGTAGGCCACATATGCATTTGGGACGTCACTGCCTTTTTGAATGGAAGTCGAATGCGGGGTGCATCCCAAAAATGGCATTGACCAACCTCGAAAGATTTTATCCTTAACCCTCCATTTTTTACATTGTCGACATTAACGTTGATCAGGGAGTATCCTTCGAAAGGAAACCTTTAGCATGTTTACTTTGCATTGGGATAAACGTACTTTGAAGGTGTAATGCTGGTAATAAGATCTGCCTTCATTGTAACTCTGCTCCACTGCTACTCTGTTGCTCAGAGGCCTACATAGACCAACCTTTCATTTCTCCCACTGCATAAAATTTCTTTTTGCTTTACCATCTACTTTCTTCATTTCTCCTTTGTTCTCATCTTACCATCTGGTCTCCTCTCTTCCTTACAAATGGTATTTGGGAGTGCAGTCGTTTCATGAGGGTAACTGGGCTTTTTCGGTGGAGCAACACCTCTCCGTTTCTTTCAATCCTCTTTTGTCCATGATCAAATGCAAAATAAGGGCTAGTTTTAATCCAGCACTTCGTAGTCATCACATCCTCAACTTCATGTATGCTGAGAAATAGTATAAAAATGTAATCATCGTGAGAGTCGTATCGCATTCGGACTTTCGCTGCTGTATTTGAAGTTATCAAAGCCTCAGATCGAGCTTGATCCTCTCCATACTCAAAACCTTCTTGAAAACCAGAACCAATTCTGTTGAATTCCAGATGAGAACTTCGTGATGAAGCCATGCGACCACGAATGCCTCGTCACTTCGTGTTTAGTGTTGGTCGTAGTGGTCGTGGTTCAAATGACAATTCTAGCTTTAACATACGGTAGCATTATGGATGATCGCCTTCGTACGTCTATTCAAAGCTACACGCCTGAACTCCATAGGTAAGTTAGAACAAATTATGTCAGGAAAGTTTACAGCTTCATAATGAATAGCCGACATTGACTGACTGGGTGTTCGTGTTGCATTTGTGAGCTGAAAAGTCATCAGTAAGGTCAAGTCAAGTGGTAGTGTTGGGATTAGAAAGCATATAGCATGTATGGGTTTGATTTCCATCCAAGTTCAAGCCGGGCCTTTTGGCATTCTTCCCACAACACAATATTGCCCTTCTCGCGAAGGCTTACCTGAGACGGTGTCTCCGTTCATAGAAGTTTCCGTGTGAAAATAATGAATTAACGAGTGCACCATTCAGTACCAGACTTGTAGTACAAGTCAAAAATGCAAAAAAAGGCTGATCAACTCCGAATGGCAGACTTCTGAACTCCCTTCAACATTTACTCTTTGTATGTTGGGCGGACCAAACACTTATCAGATTGATAACGATGGGCTCGGGCGATCCTGCTGCAGGACTTCTGTACTCCCATCTACACCCCTCGAGATTCTTAAAATCTTTCGAGAAAGTCTATTGCCTAGGGAATATAGGAAACGTGGCTTTCGAGAATCAAGTTCCTAGTTGAAGATTTGGGAGCATAAAAAACTGTTTCTGCTTTTCGACTTCGAGATAAGTGGCTTAAGAATCAGCCTCAACTCGGAGCAAAGTGACCAGGGGAATTGGACATCCGAATTGATCGCCCTTTGTAGTTCAAGCATTAATTATAATGGAACAGAACGGCTTACAATTAGGTTATAATCTTCTGAAACACTGCAGGTAGAACATGATATTCCCACACGAATTACTCATACAAGTTCAATTTGCAGCTCCCAGGCAAGGCGATTACCCACCGCACTCATTATCGGTGTACGGAAAGGTGGCACACGAGCACTGCTTGATGCAATGGCACTACATCCGAATATTCGAGCTGTTAGAAAAGAAGCACATTTCTTCGATCTGAACTATTCGAAAGGAATCGACTGGTATCAATCGATGATGCCCCACAGTACCCCTGATCAGGTTCGCCGGTGCTTTTCCTTCATTAACTACTGAAAAAAAAGGATCGGGATTTCTTGTTCGATTCAATTTTCTACTAGAGGGGGAAGGGGGAGAAGAGCTACTAGAAAGTTTGAACGCCGTTCGAAAGAGCGACGGTGGATATGACTGAATAGAAGTGAACATACGCTTATTCCAGGTGGTTGTGGAAAAAACACCAGGCTATTTCACTTCAGCAGTGGCTCCAAAACGTGTACGTGAACTCAATCCAGCAATGAAGATCGTCCTAATTGTCCGAGATCCTACTCAAAGAACTATCAGTGATTTTACTCAGGTAGGTAACTGAGCGCATACGAACCCAGTACCTAAAGGGAATGTGAACTTTAAATGAAAAGAGCTAAAGATAATATTCGTCCGAGATGAGAGAAAATCAAGAAGCGGTAACTTGATGTAACCCGAACTTGAGTGCATATGCTCACAACAGTCAGAATTCCTTGCCAGCCACGGGGTGGCTCGATAGAGCTCGGAAACACGAGACATCTCTCACCTAGTGGATCCTGTAAACTGAACAAAATAAAATCATCAGCTGAGACGCAAGATACCTGGAAATCAGACGTTGCTAGTACACAACGAACGCAAAAATTCAGGACACCCAGAGCGAAACGGTGCTCCAATACATCTATTTCCAGGTATACTACAATAAACTGGAGCAGAATAAAACTCTTCCGGTTTTCGACAAGGAAGCATTCCTTCCTGGTACAGAATTGATCAACCCGGAGTATAAACCTGTTCGAAATTCCCTTTATGATGTACATATGGCAAATTGGTTACGATATTTTTCTATGGAACAGATATTGGTCGTAAATGGTGATGTGTTTCGAGGGAATCCTATCAACGAGGTAAGAATCAATGGATTTCCAGATCTATCTCAGCTTTCACGCAACTTCGGGACTAAATCCTTTTTTTACTAATTTTTCCTCGCTGATAGACTGCAGCTCTGGCAATTCTGTAGGTAGCCTTTTCCACTTTTAGCCTCAGCAGTTGTCCTGTGGGACTGTTGACTTACCATTAGTCGCTGATCGCCTCTGTTCCCCTCGACCGTGGCACGTCGTCGCTGCGTCCCAGGTTCCTAGCAAACAGAGACCTCTTAAAATCTGAATCTGAAAGCAAAGTTCAACGATGCCGTATTATCCTCGAAATGAGCTATGTACCATCACGAATTTCGTTTTAAATCTGAGAATAATAGAGAAAGCTATCCACCGGTGTACGGCGTAAAGCGGCAGGGCCAAATCTTCAGCGCCATTTCATCGCTTACAGTAGCTTCATTACACTAATCCCATTCTAACATTGAACTGATATGTTACAGCTTCGTCGCGTCGAGACTTTCCTCGGTCTGCCGCACAAAATCACAAACGATCAGTTGATCTTCAACGAACGCAAGGGATTTTTCTGTTTCCGTCAGTCGCCACGAACACGAGTGAAGTGTCTTGGTAGCACAAAGGGCCGACCTCATCGCGATATCGCCGACGACATCGTAGCGAAGCTGCGACGGAATCTTCAACCACATAATTTACGGTTCTTTAGTTTGGTAAACAGGACTTTCTTGTGGTAGGCAAAGGTCTGCGGATAGAAATCACTGAGAATTCATCTAAAAGTGTCTTCAAATGGTCAATTATTATAAGAGTGTCGCATAGTAGTCTTATTCTACACATTTTATCTGCTTTAGCTTTACTCAGCTGGTTGCATAGACTCAGGTTATCTGCTATCATTATTTACGGGTCTATTAGCACTAATTTGGTATTTTTGTGAGTTCCATGTACTTATTGTTAACTGTTTTATCGAAATGTGCCTATACGATTGTAAGCTGCCGTGCGCTCCTGATGATACGGTCGGCAGTATGCATTTCAGTTTCTTTTTTTTAAATCTCGGACAAACTGTGTACGAGTTAACCGACCATGAAGTAAGAATAGCCTTGTTAACTTGACCGAGTAGCCTTTTCTCCTGCGCCTTTCTGAAGTACATCTCGATCCACTCAAATATACTTCTAACATTTCCCGCCTTTACCAAAGATCTTAATAATTATGAAGCTATGAATAAAGCTATACATTGATCATTACCTGTTGATACTTGCGTGGCAGTACTGGATTGCAACTGTAAACTGAACCCAAGCTTCGCATCCTTTTATTCCGAATTAAGCTTTTATGGATAGTGATTATTAAGTATTCTCATTATTCATTGAGTACGACAGCTTAGCTTGGAACTTTTTGTTGGCAACAAGTCGTTGGGTCTGAAAACTGCTACCATCACGTACTCAAAAATATTCTTTCCGAAACAACTTTACTTGATAATCACCACCCGCTGCTCCGACAAAGTTCGATCCTGACTTGGTCGTGATCTGACGATTAATCATTTAAAGGGAGAACTCAGCGAAGACGAACTTCAAGATTCAAGCGAGGCGGCCTTAGCTTTTCCTTCAGTACCTGGAAAGAAGATCGGTGCAGGTGACCCACTGTGCCACTTCAATGCCTTGGCTTTTCCTTCAGTACCTGGAAAGAAGATCGGTGCAGGTGACCCACTGTGCCACTTCAATGAGTCCCTCACAAAGATAGCGATTTGCGGACAAAACTTCAGACTCGAATTCGGAGTCTCGGAGGATGAAGTTTTGTCCACAGGTCGCCATCATTGTGTGACTTCCGCATCTACTGCGCGATATAACAGCAGTTAACAAAACATCAAGTCAATGAGCCACTGTCCGTTGCTCCCTTCAGGTGACTCATACCACCTGCTATGGAAAACTATGTAGACTGTTGTTGTGCTTCTTAAGGCTACTGCCTCTCCTCCAGGCTGAGCAGCATTGTTGCTTGGCTCGTGCTGCGCTCTGCACCGCTATATGCAATTTAGCTAAGGAGTGATTAGACTGGGTTATGTTAAGTACATCATTGTCAATTTTCTTATTCCACACGAAATGCATCCACCTTCCTCTTCATCATCATCCGCTATTTGCCTTAGCCGTTCCTGGATTACCTGGAAAACCAAGATCGACGGAGACTTCGTTATTCGTGTATTACATGTACAACTACTTTTCTTTTGTAAAGGACGTATTACGCTTCGAATCTAATAGGATCTGAATCCTTCTCAATGTTCAGTCCAGAAGACTCTTTGCGACCTCCCGAACCAACTTGACCATTTATCATTCACTCCCACCGTACTTAGAAGTTCACAATCCTTATTAACACCACCATGTCTTTGGATTCAACTAGTGATGTCTCCACCTTAGTACATATTTCGTCTATATACTTGTCAACCTAGTTCTGGGCTTCACTGTCAGTGTGTCTGCTCAGAATAGCACTTCGATTACCAGACCATCTACGAATGCACAGCAATGCATCTTTACTTAAGGGCACAGTTCACGATAACTTTGGCGTACCTGGCTTCAGGTGAGAAATGGAAGTGATCGTTCAGAGTCGTGCAAAAGCGGGGGAAAAAGGCAAAAATCGACGTATCGAGAGGAGTACAAGGTTCTAAAATGTAATGAAGATAGAGTTTGGAGAATGTGACGAAAAACGTCGCAAGGAATGGGTATCTGGGCAGGCTGTCTAGTGTGCTCGCCATTGCATACAGTTGGCTGTAGTGAGCGGTCTGCATCGTAAGTGTAGGTCCGATGGTATGGTTGTGTAACCTGCACAGCCTCTACAATGTCTGAGAACTCGCCCACCCCCACCCACCCACCAGAAGCCGATCCCAGTCTGAAAATGTAATTGTAGTATCCATTATAATATGTTTGTGCAATTGCAGTACGTGTGGTACTATGCAGTTGCAATGTGCAAGAGAAGGTCTTCGGCAAGTCTGGTACCCATGAGTGGATCCAGTATGGATGGAAAGCCTAGTGAGCCTAGACGTTATCGATCCGGGATTCGATCTTCAGACTATGCTTGAACAATGTAAGCTGTTTATATGCCAACGCACCACTGCCCGATTCCATACATACCTACCCGGCATACCCTAAGTTCAAACCCAAAAAATGGTTCATTTTTTAACACTAGGGGAGACTGAATTGTGAAAGTAGCCATGATCGCTTGAACTTCATGCACAGAAGCAGGAGTGATGTGTTCATTTATTTAAATAGAAGCAGTGGAGAATTCATACTCTTTCACAACCCAGCTCAAGTGTCACCTACACCCTTCGTGACTACCATTCACCTTTATTACAGAACTGCTGCGATTCAGGCCATGGATTATCGGTCTATTTTCGGTTGAGTCGTTCTACTGCGACAAAATTGCTGCTTCCGTCTCGACTTGCCTCGGGCAAGGAGATCTGTAATCTGCTTTGTGGTGTCTGCGACAATGAGTTGACGCATCCGCTCGAAAGCTACACTTCTAACGGACTGACAGCCACACGTTTTTCATCCCTAAATTCCTTGAACATTGCTTGCCACACTATGAACTAGTTTTCATGGCACAACCACAAAACACACGTATGAAGATACATTTATATGATAAAATAATATGTATATGCTCAAACCCCGGCACACTATAGAGAAGGACCTTTGACGGGTTTCATTCACTGTTGGAAAGATTACATCATTCCCAGAATGTTAGTATTTGGGGGCTAATCCGTAGACATAAAAAAAACAGTGGCATACTTGATTCCTGTGACAAATGAGGTGTCCTAGACAAGGCACTTTTTACATCAACAGATGACAAATTAGGTCTTCAGAAGGGTGCAGAAGATGCTCTTCTTACGCTAGCGGATTTCAGCCCAGAAGACGAAAGGAATGCCTGTAAGAAAAGGATAGTAGGAAGACAGTGAATATTGAAATTATTTGAATACTGGGGCGACAAAAGACGAGAAAGGTTCGAGTTCTACATCCAATGTTGTTAAAAATTGTTATGCGTCCTCTTTCTATCGTTACAAAGGATGGTAATGTGCCCGAAGTAGACTTGGTTGTAATTTCAGAGGAAGGAAATCTACTGTGATTGGTTTTGGAATTACAGACTATTAACAACTAGGATATTCTGCCCCTCTTCCCTTCACCCACTTCTCCTCCTACTCCTCTTCGCCCACCTCCCGCCCTCCCCTCTTTTTTCTTTATACCGCTTTTTGGAGTGGCGAAGTACTATCATCCAAGGGTGAGTACAAAAAGCACACAGTTTGGGATAGAGGATCCAAGTGCCAATGAAGGCGATGTAGAAGGATACCAACGCTGACAATACTCCGTTCACAACACATTCAAAAGCATACTAGAGAGGGGGAGCAACTCCTAGAGCTTCTATTATGGTTATCCAGATCCACATTTCTACAGAATGCTGCTTCTACTTGGCACACTTCATATCGAANTACAAAAAGCACACAGTTTGGGATAGAGGATCCAAGGCCAATGAAGGCGATGTAGAAGGATACCAACGCTGATCCTCTATTATGGTTATCCAGATCCACATTTCTACAGAATGCTGCTTCTACTTGGCACACTTCATATCGAAACTTGGAAAGGAGCTTACTACGGATCCACGGAAACTGCCCTTAAGCGAAAACCAAGATTCAACTGACAAATGTCAAGTCAAGACAGCAATAAGACCCAGCATTCACAGTTATTTCAGCTTAGAGCAAATCTTTCCGACTCTGATATTTGAACTGTTCTTCATGGTATGCAACGTTGCACACTCAGCTTGTCCTTCAACTCATCCCTTTTCGAATCTCAATCCTAAACACACTGACTATGCCTTGTTGAGCGGAACATGCTTTTTCTGAATTTTAGGATTCTCGTTGTTGGTCGCGCTGCATCGCTTCTGCATCAGTTGACACATTGTTGTAGTTCTTTCATGCCGCGCTTCTTCCGCGTTTTGCAAATGCAGGATACTGCTGAATTAAAGAAAATTACAGATCTGCTGCTGTACAACTTATGTAGTGCATTGGATATTTTGCATGAGGTAAAGACAGTGAGGACCTCCATTCCTCCGTGGTCGGTCAATTGGTGCCACAGTGGTATGGGAGGATAAAAGCATTGAGTTGTTTTCAGAACACCATTACAATTCAGAATGGGGGTAAAATGTAGACGTTATCTCGAAGATGGGACTCAAATTAGCGCTGGAAACGTATCCTTTTTTATACTATTGAATGATCGTTTTCATTTTGCTCTTCTGCGTTTACTTTGGTGCTCACGAGGGCACTCAGAAGTGGGAAGGGAATTTTTTGAAGTTGAAGAACAGTGAAGAATTGCCTCGCTCTTATCCACTCCACCCCCTCTCCCTAACCACCTCCGTGCATGGTGACTACGCCCATGCCGTTCTTCTCGAAGTAAAGTTTTCCAAACTCCAAGTTCCTTTATCGTTGACACTTGGTGTTTTTTGTCTATTGAATTCAGAATTCAAGCAATAGCGAGCGAAATTGGTAAACTTTTTGTAATTATTTATGGATTTTCGATTTTCGATTTGGCCGCTTGTCTTCCGTTTAAATATGACAGCTCTGAATACAGAGGGAACGAGTTATAAATACGATCAAACGATCGACCCACGCACGCACACATAACAGACACACTCAATCATTTTTATATTACAGGACTATTTTAGGTGCCATTTTGCCCATTCAGAAGAGGTTCTAAGTCAAGTACGGAAA